CAGACGTTGAGTTCAATCATTTGTACGGCCCTCGAAGGATGTTGTAAAAATTGAAATGGCCCTTGAGAGGAAAAAGGTTCCCCACCCCTGGTCTAAACTAAATGCTGCCGTGATGAAACACCATATCATGGATTATCAAGGATTATTTCTGAAACAGTATGGAGCTCAAAGGCTTTCTCTCTTGCCGGTTATACCACAAGGTGAGTTCCTTTTTACTTCCTGCTTCTTCACACACATGCTCTCCAGTACAGGTTAGCTCTGAGTGTTAGCGATGCTAACGTAAACACCGAGCATATTACGTCCAAAACAGTCGGGCATTGTTTCTGATAGCAACGTTTTTGATAGGGCCGTGGGTCCACATTTCCGATATTACGTCATATCGGACGCAAATCTGGATCAGCTCCGTTGTTCCCCCGTTTTTAGAGATTTGGGAACAGAGGAAAAGAGAGAGGGTTTTGTTTTCTGACGCTGCGTGAGTTCCCCGAAACACCGGGGACACGTTTATGTAGAAAATACATCAAAAAAGTGCATTTTGCATGATAGGTCCCCTTTAAATTTTCTTCAGTTTGAACGCATGCAGGATAAAGAAATCAGTTAAATGGAGTAGGTGGACACGTGATTTATTAAACAAACACACTGTGTTTGCTTTAAATTCATGTGTTAAACTTAAATATCATTTAAGAAACTATACTATGCCTAGCTTATCATTTAAAATATGACGTGTTTGATCCTAATTATTTTGGTTTCCTCTTTTCTAAAGTCACATTGTCACAAAACAACTTAACTTATTTGAGAGTCACAAGGAAATCTTAAAATCAAAATGTCATCACATCATCATCGTCAGAAGTTCATAAAACATTTATTTTTCCAGCTCCTCCAATGTGAGATTTTGCTGCTTTTCTCAGTTTGTATCAAAATGAAATTGAATTTATTTGAGGTTTGAACTTAGAGTCTATATACGCTGCTGGACAATCTTGCACTAATGTACATTTCCCAAAGGTATTGAAGTGACTGTTATTTTGTATATATTGATTATTGTGCTTTTATAGGTCTTAATGTGTGCATATGTATAAATGTGTCGGTTGATTGTGTATTGGATAGATATTTTTATATATCTTTGTATTTTTTATTCTGGATTGTGGGAAACGGTATTTCGATCTCTCTGTCTGTACACACAAACTGAAAGATTGACAATACTTTGGACTTTGACTTATATACAAGTAATTGGAATCATATTTTTCAAATCCTGTGTCAGTTCTATAAAGATTTTGAAGCTACAAGTGCAGATTCCTCCCACTTTCCCTCCTGAATCTCCTCACCTGCCAGCGAGCCCGGAGACGTCGATATTTTAATTTACCCTCCAGTAAAGAATGAAATGACATAACTGATGAGATGAGAAGTTCACCTTGCATTCCCCCGGATATGGCCACATGAAGACCCTGTTTCCTTTTTCTTTCTATTTTTTTTCATTTTCCCCCTCAAAGCCACTGACCTGCCAGCGAACCCTGAGACGTCGTCGTAGCTGTCGTAGACCTCCAGGTAGTCGGCCAGGCAGCCCGAGTCCTCCTCCAGGTCGAACTCCTGGAAGAGCAGCTGGATCCTCTGGCCCAGGCGCACCCGGATGTGCCAGTAGCAGATCTGCTCGTCCTGGTACTCCTCTGGGAAGCCTGGAGACTGGATGATCCTCTGAGGGTCCGTCAGCGTCCCCCCACACTCCTTAGCTGGAAAACACACAAATCAAATGCAGAGGTTAGAATTAAATCGGCATTTTTCTTCAATTGTCCTAAAAAACAATGAATTAACTGCTGCTAGCAACTTTTAAAGATGTACTGTATGTGCAGCCTGCAGTTGATATGTTGCATTTTTCACTTGATTATTATTCAGTGTTTAATGTGTATTCTATTTTATTTTATTAGATATATTGAAATCACTATAATTAATTCTAAAGTCTAAAATAATAATAGTCAAAATATGAAGCATAGATAATTAAAAGTAAAAACGAATAAACTAGCCTTGCCTTGCCTATACACCTCCCACCTTATATCAACATATTGGGCAAACCATGTTTCAGTTCTACAACAATGTTGGAGCTACATGTGCAGGGCCGCCCCTGGCCAACTTGTGGCCCCTCGCAAAGTTATATGATGAGGCCCTCTGTGTCGCGAGCGTCGACGGGGGGTGCTAGTGGAGCCTCGCAGCGGCGAAACTGTGGCGCGCTTATAGTAGGTGCGCCGCATTTGCGCTTCAGATGAGGCTCCCTCCGCAAAATGAAGAACCCTCCGCGAGGTGAGACCCCACGCAGTCTGCGTGATCGGCCTGTAGGGAGGGGCGGCCCTGCACCTGTGTAGTAAATCAGCATATTCTTTCAATTGTCCTAAAAAAAACTATGGATTAATTGCCACTTTGTTTTCTGTTGAGGGAAATTGAGTTGTGTATATAATAAATGCATAAATAAGATTGTGATTAGTAGAGAGTGCACTAGAGGTATTGTCCCTAAAATTAAGGTCTCTTTACCATTGATGTATGGAGACCCTTTTTAATGAAGCTGCAGTGTTTAAAGACGTACTGTATGTGTGCATTTTAAAGTTGATATTCAGCATTTTTACTTAATTGTTTTAGTTATTATTAATTATTCAGTGTTTTCATTTTTTACTTTTTTCTCATTTTTAAATGTTTCTTACTTCTATAACCATTATTATTGATATTGAAATCACTATAATTAAGTAGTCTAACATAATAAATATGATAATAGTAAAAATCTCAATAATATATCTTAGAATATATGAAGCACAGATAATTAAAAAGTAAAACTACAAAGAGAGGTAGATCATCCTGACCTGTGCACACCAGAGTTTGTGAGTAGCTGTTAGTGGGAAGTTTAAAGACCGTAAAAATGGCACCACAAAGAAACATTTAGTGCGGTTGTCTGTATTCTAAATTCATACCCTCAGTTATTTCAGGTCTGTAGCATGCTTTTCTGCAGCTCCAAAGAACAAAACACACTTAGAGAGTTCTTGGTATTTAAGGGAACAGAAATAAGGGGAACATTTGAACATCACTGCCGTGGGAAAGCAGCTCTCATCTAAGGACATGATGATAAATGTGTGTTCTGAGGCAGGACTTTCATTTGCATCTGTTCACGTGCAGCACTTTGGATTGGGGGGGGTCTTTCTCCTGCGTGTGAGCTCTGAATGAATCAAGAGTAGGAGAAGAAGAGTTCTTTTGTAAAGGAAGGAAATGAAACACACATGTGGAAACCGGTAACAATGGCAAAGTTTTCCACTCGATGCCCTGCAGGGAGAAGGGATGTTAGGTTGATTAACGTTGTTTCTTATTTGTAGATCATTAAAAAGGAAACATATACATCCATAACTGAGGATAAATCAGATAACATGTGTAGTTTAGACAATGAAATCAACTGGTGACGTGAGAAAAATAAACCTTTCGGAGCAGAGGATCCTAGAAAATGTAATGCATGCTTCATTAAATGACTTTCTTCTCTAACAATGAATCATCTAAATACGGATTATAAACTGTAAGAAATAAGAGAAGATCTGTTTGAGTTCATGATCTTTTTTAAGCATTTAAACATTTCGTTTTTTTGTGTATACCTGTATCATCTTATACTGTTCATGTCAGCCAATTAGTAATTAGAATTAAGCGCTGCAATGTCCCCGTTTATCCACCAGAGAACACACACAGGTATCATTTGGTGTTCGGGTCTGGGGAGACCCAGCAGAATTGTTGTGGGTGACTCGGGGTCAAATTTTGCCCAATCAAGATTCACGGGAACTCCACCTTTCTCAAAGAATATGTACACCAACACTTGAACCTGAACACACACATGCACGTGTGCAATATGTGGTGTAATGTGTTTTGGGGCCATAACACTAAATAACAACAGGATTGTACGGTTATGAATGCATAATACGTTAGTTATGATGTAGTTCAAACAATATTGGATGATAGTAACTTTTTTGTGTGTTTTGGACTGAGATAAATCATGGGTCAAAATTGACCCGCGAACACTATGAACGGTAACAGCTTTTGAACACGACACAAGGGTTAAGGAAAATATATGTATAACAGTTATTTTATAACCAAGTTTAAAGCTGTTATAATTCATGTTTTTTTATATTAACACACACCCAACAAGGTTTTACTTATTTTGATTTTGTTTAATTTGCTTTTTTGTGCATCGTAGTAATCCTTTAATTTCACCCCACTGTATAAAACATATTGTTATTTATTTATTTATGTGTATTTAATCTGTTTTAATTGTAGCTCTTGTGCATAATGTTTTGTAATTATTCTGTTTTAATTGTCTTGATATAATTGAAAATAATAAATGATAATTCTTCAAGACTAAATATAATAAATATGCAGAGTGTACAGCCACACAACATTTCCATCTCCTTTCAATAGACGATCAAACTGTTTCTGATGTTGAACACATATTTATTTTGACTCACTGAAGGCACAGTGGCTAGAAAATGCTGAGCTGCTTTTCATTTGGGTGTTAATTTCCATAATATTACTTTTAAATGCTTTTCAGATGTGTTTAAAAAAGGACAAAAGAGATATAAACGTACTTCGGCTCCAAATGAATCAGGCAGATTGGGAAATCCCATTAACATTAAAGTTCAAATGAATCATTCAGGCGTGTTGGTTCTAAAAAAAACAGTCACTGTGCAGCTTATCACTTCCTCAGTTTCTCCATCTTATCCTCACCCCACATCCTGCAGGTTTATTCCTGGTCTCCTCATGATAACTCACAGGGTGCGACACAGATTGTGGTTTTAAGTGCGGTGAGTCTGCAGAGCCTCAGAAAGGATGACTACTCTGAACCACAGCCTCAGTCATCGCCTACGCTTCAAAACACAGTCTCTTTAAACCACTCCGATATTGACTAGCCGTGACGCTAGTTTAGTTTTCACCTTGTGAGTGTGTTTGTGTGTGTCACCATGGCAAAACGTTGTCCTAGAGACATTTACTGTAACGGGAATCACCACAGAGGAGGTTTTAAGTGCTTTGTTATGAGTTTATATTTGTCTGTCTGTCACTTCCGTTGCATTGCAGCGATACAGGATGCAGTCACTACACTTTACAGAGGTGTAGTTCAGATAGAAATGAAGTTCAAAGAAGGGTGTTATCCGAACAAAGGATGACTTTCAGTGCTCTTAGTCGGACCGCTGTTGGGGACTATAGGAAGTGGTGAAGAATTTAGCATTTGTCATCCCATTGCAAGATATTTTACTTTAGTAATGCCAGTATCACTTCCACATCTGAATGACAACATACTGTATAACCTTTGTGCATGCGTCACTGTTGGGTTTGTCTGCAGGAAGCTGTCATAAATTGACCTTTTATCCAATTTAAAGCAATATATTTTCAACACACATAAGCGCGCTATCGGCACTATCTATGCAGAAGTGAAGTTGAGTAATGAGGTTTTAGAGAAGATGCATGTATTTGGGAAGTAGTGAGCATCCAACCGGGAAACTGAGACTTGGACATGGGTTTTACTTTTTAAATGAATGGTTTTGAATAGTTTTGCTGTTGTTAAAAGCTGCTCCCATTTACTTATTCCTCACTTCATGATACTAATCTTTTCCTACCTTGAATGTTTACTTATTAGATTGTTTTGCTTGCCACTACCATACTGATTTATTTGTTGTCTTAATCGGTCTAGTCTGTTTGTTTTAACAATGAACATTTTCCGTCTGTGGGACAGATAAAGGAATTATGACAACATTTGTAGATAACTGTGGAAGAATCTAAGAATAAATTTGGAATTCAAGGCAACACGTGGTAAGAAATTGATATAAGGATGATCATTTTGTGGCTGAAGTATTCCTTAGAGCCAACTTGTACTGCAATATATAAAAAACATGTACTCACAGTTTGGGTTGTAGCAGTACACATCCCATCTCTCACTCTTGTTTCTTCTCACTCCGTAGTCCACGACGCCGATCTTCCCAAAGCCACAGTTAGCACCCGGTTTAACGATGGGGTACCCAACATGCCCTCTGTCGAACCATCCGGCTGCACACACATGGAAACCTGAAAAATAAAATATATCTGCTTCATGCAACCACTGATAATAAACCATTATGTTCTGTCAGCCAAGCACGGAAACTCAGCGTCAAAGGTAGAAACCTGGACTCTCTGTTTGTTATTTTGTTGTGGGGGGCTCACAGTTACACTCAGCAGACCCCCAGATAAAACAGAGACCTCCTAGGTAGACCGCTGTGGGAAAACTGGTCTCAAGCGCTGAAAAGGGACAGAATCAAGTGGCTGGACTCCATCTCAAGAACAAATGGTGAAGTTACCCACCCAAGAAGGTGTTAACGGACTATAACAATGCTCCTGAGGCCGCTTAAAACCTGCTCATGAAACAGCAAAGCACTCGTGGGAAGAAGTGTTTCATCCTCGACCTTTGCCCTATGAACATGTGAAGTCTGAAAGCAGTCCAGCCTTGTGTCTCCACTGTTACATTAGACATGGTGCTTTAAGTGTTTCATGGGAGAAAGGAAAAGTAAACCTCCCTGCTTTCATTGTGTGGGTGCGGTATGAGTCTCCCTCGAGTGATGAATTATGATGCATTCACTCCCCTATAGTAAATCTCCTTGAACAGGGTGTGTGTTTGGTGTGTGTGTACGTGAGTTTCTGCAGACCTATTTGACGAGCAGCCTCCAGTTGTTCGTGAGTGGCCAGCTTCCCCCCCTCGTATTTGCAGACGGCCTTGGCTTCTTTATACGTCAGCTGGTATCTCCCTTTGCGTGATTCCCGGTGGTAAACTCCAGCTGCTTGTTCTGAGAGAGAGAGAAAGAGAGAGAGAGAGAGATCCAAAAGTTGTTACCTCCATCTGAGGAAGGACTGTTTGCAGAAACCACAGTGATCTGCAGAGAGGAAAAGTAACTACTTACGTACTCAAAGGGGCCCTTTCATGCTAATTTCCAGGTGTATATCAGTATGTAGTGTCTCTACTTTAAAGAGTCCTCTCCTGCTGATGTTCAGGGGCCGTATTCACAAAGCATTTTATCTTACCGCTAGGAGTGCTCCTAACTCGCGCTAAAACATTTTACGTAGGAGTTTTTTCTTAAAAGTTATTCACAAAGCCGCTGAGACCTACTCATACTAAGGATAAATCACTAAGAGTGAACTAAGAGTGACGCGCCGTTGCTATGGATGACGTCGATTCTCGTGCATGAGTTTAGAAGCGGTCAGTACGGTGATTGGTTGTTCAGAGTAGGCGGTCTCGGTGAAACTCATCCGCAACATCCCACAAACGAGCCCACTAAATCACCGAAAAACAAGGAAATAGCCTCGGCTAGAAATGTATTCCTATCAAATAGTTATGGACAGTGCAGTTAGCAGAATACACACATGATGACAAGTTTGTGCAGACCACGATAATGACGTTGTATATGCACGTTAAAGAGAGAGAGCAAACAATAAAAATACGTAAATTGCATTAAATCGAGGAGGCAATTAAAAGCACCCTGCAAACTATTATCCAATGAGCATATTTCCAGCACTTAAACACTTTCAATAACA